GGACCACATTTTCATAATTTATATTTTTATACAGAATTATATTTGCTACTTGTATTAAACTAAGAGTTGCAAGGTTGCTCGATTTGTTTTCAAACTACAATCTAGCGACAGCTATGAGAAAGTGTGGTCCTTCACAAAAATAAAACCGATGTATGCTGTAGATACTTTACTAGCATGTGTTTTAGCGTGTTAGTAGCACCCTTGAAAGGTCAGGAATTGTGGCTGTTGGCTTTGCCTGCCTCTGGAAGCCGTGAATGGCTGTTTAAACCATCTCTCACCCCGTCACACCTTCACTCTTACTCTGTCTTTCTCTCATGCACTCTTGTTAACATGGGAATAACAAACTACACCTGTGGCATGATTTCTCCCTCTCAACAAAACTTTGACTTGCCGATCTCTTTAAGCCTGCTCAACAATATAATACTTTAACTTTTAAAAATTGACACCAGCTCTATGTAGAGAACTGAACCCAAATGCAACATTTAAAGGGATAGTTCACACAAAAGTGAAATTTCTGTTATCATTTATTTACCCTCATGATGTCCCAAACCTGTATGACTGACTTCCTTCTGTGAAACACAAATGGAGAAATTTAGAAGAATGTCCCAGGTGCTCTTTTCCATAACATGAAACAGTCAGACTAGGGGCTTTCAGGCTCCAAAAATAACAAAAAAGTACCATACAACTACTATAAAGTTATCATATGACTTTAGAAGACTTGGAATGTAGCACATAAGTCACAAGAGCCACTTTTATGGTACCTTTTTGTCATTTTTGGAGCTCAACAACCCCAGTCCCCATTCAGTTTCATTATATGAGAAAGAACAGCTTGAACGATCTTCAAAATATCTACTTTTGTGTTCCACTGAGTTAATAAAAAAATAAAGTCACACACATTTGGAATGACATGAGGGTGAGTAAATGATCAAATCACTGAAGGATGGGTAAGATACCCAGGACAGTCTAACTTTTGTAACTAGGCTTTTACTTGCTTATTGGTCGTCATTTATCAGCTACATCAGATTATGATTTTGGTTGTTTTATGGTGGTAAGGCACCTATAGGTCTTTTGTAAGTTTCCGTTTCTATTATTCGCACAATGACTTCCTTTTTCTCACAGGGGCATCTTTCACAGAACCTGTCCAATGAGCAGCGTCCTCCGATTTAAATATTCACACAGCATTTCTTAGCACATCAAGTGAGACCTTTAGTTTGAATAAAGGTGCGGTTACATTTACTGTTCCGGCAAATTTTTGCGGGTGAACTCAAGTCAAATCAATAGGAAACTACATGCGAGGACGAAAATATTTCCTCATGCAGATTTTGCATCAGGTCCTGGGAATTCACCACAATGACTAACATAAAGCTGCTTGATTTGAAAGTGACTTCTATGTGAGCTGTGCAGCATACATCTCTACAGTTTTGACAATGGATTTTTTCCCCCTGCAATATTTTCCAGAATTTTTCGCTAATGTGATTGCACCTTAAGAGGGTTCTGTTTTCTACATATGCACTGTTAATTAAAAGGATACTGACTGACTGGATGGGGGACCATCTACTGCTAGTACCATGTCTTTGTTATCAACTGAATCACAGAGGACACATAAAGCCATACTGACCATGTGAAATGAATAGACCAGTAGTACGTAATAGGATGCTTATTTGAGTGGGAAGTGTTTGTCATCGGGTATGGAGTGCCTTGGCAGGAAGCTTGTGCCCTGAGACCTGCTTTGAAAGCGTGTGCACCTTGTATTAAGCTTGGCTTTATGCATCTCTCATGAATGGTCCCATCCATCAGTCATTACCCCTTTTCTTCGGAGTATTTATCTCTTTTCATTGTTCCTCTGTTGTCCCTCTTTTGCACTCTCACTCATTCAGGTTGATAAGTTGGATGCTTCTGAGTCTTTGAGGAAAGAGGAAGAACAGCTCACAGAGGCACAACCCATTGTCTATGGTAGGACCCTTGCACTGTCTCTGCATCTAAGAAGGAAAAACTTTTTACATCTCCACTACAAATTATTCATCAAGCAATATAGTATTTCTTTGGCTAATACAGATATCTAGAGGCCACTTATTTTATTAATTTATTTTATTTTAGGTTTTATTTAAAATAATTTAATTATTGTTTTAACAATTTTTGCTTTTGTGTGTATTTATTTTATTTTATTTTTTTCCAATTTGTTTTGTGTTTTTGATTTTTTTGTTTAATTTATATTTAATTCACATATATAATTAATGTAATATTTTCACGAAATTTTTTGCTGTAGCGTCAAAATAACTAATATGTCGCAATATATTAGTTTATCACGTTACCTTTTTTATTTTATTTTATTATTTTATTTTAATTATTTATTTATTTTTTCCCCGATTTGTTTTGTTTTTGGTTTTGTTTAACACGTGTTAAACAAACATAGTTTATCACGTTACCTTTTTTTGTTCATTTTATTTTATTTGAAATATTTTTTTTTTGTTTAACGCTAAAGTATGAGAGGAATTTATATTTAATTCACATAATATATTAGTTTTTTATTTTTTGTTTTTTTTATTTCATTTTATTGTTTACATTGTTTTTTATTTGTTTTTTTTTGTTGTGTTTAATGCTAGCAAGTATGAGTCAAATTTATATTTAATTCACATATTTAATTTATGTAATTTTCACTCTAAAATATTTGCAGTAACCTCAAAATACCAAATATGCCTGATATTGGCTTATCACGTTAGATTTTTTTGTTTTTGTTTTTTTTTGGTATGGTTTTATTTTTGTAGTTTTGTGATTGTTTTTTTCTTTCTTTTTTTCGTTTAGTTCTAGCAAGTATGAATGGAATTGATATTTAATTATATAATATAATTAATGTAATATTTTCACTCAAATATATTTGCAGTAACTTCAAAATATCGAATGTGCCCAATATATTGGTCTACCACAGTTACAAATGCCGAGTAGCCTGATGTAAAATAATTTACAGTTGCATTCAAAACCCATTAAATGAGATGAATAACCTGTCGTAGGTAGTTTTTATATTAATGCTCCTGTGTTATTTTTCCCAGGCACACCCCAACTGATGCTCACTGCAGGCCCCAATGTCGCAGTCCCCCCACAGCAGCCTTATGGCTACGGCTACCCCACGGCGACTGGCTACGGCCAACCCGCACAGCCAGGCTTTGGCTACGGCATGTAAAGCCCTCCTGCCCACAGCTGTCCACCCATCTCTCCTTAAGTTCCTTACTAGCTTATTGTGATCTACTCACAAGGTTATAGAAAGTAAAAAAAAAAAAAAAAGTTTTAAATTATTTTCCTTAAAATGCAATGAAGGACTTCATTTTTATTTGTGTTGTCAAAGAAAATAATCGGACCACATTTTTGTTATTTCACATTCCATATTTAAGGCTACTTATATCACAAGTTTTTCTTTCTTTTTTTTTTCCTTTTTTTTGTGAGCTGATTTTTTTTAAGGGGGCATGGGTTGTGTATGTAAGTGGAGTGTCGAGAAGAGCAATTAACCTTAAAATATGTCGTGAAGCATCTGATTTGCACTCTGTCGTGAGAGGAAACTAATGTAGATTCTCTTAATTTTGATGTATTGTATGTGAAGAGCTTACACTGTCAGTCTGTTTAATGCATTTCATTATTGTATATTCTGAAAAAGGTTAAACAATATTTGAACATGAACGTATGCATCCATGGGTACATTTAGCTAACACTAAGTAATAATCTGATATTCTACACAAATATGTAGCTGTATGGAAATTTTAAGCGCATACAGACATGAATATAGTAAATGATTTTAATCCCTTAGCCTAAACGGGTTTCCCCGATCGACCTCGTAGTTGTTAACATCTCACTCCATGTGTAACAGGTGACCTTTCCTTGTATTGAATACAGTGCTCTTTCTTGTGTGAATCCATTTCCATAAATGAGCAAGGGATACATCGATTCCTCTGACTTCTGTGTTTACTCATCCAATTCTTTGTATTGAGGTTTGTGTGTGCCAGGTGTCGTGCTGTTCTTGCTCACTATTCGGAGTGTACAGTAGAATGAATACACAAATGGAGAACAATGCTTTGTCCACCTGTAAGATTTGTGTGCGATCTGCAGATTCCGAAAACGGGAATAAATTCACAGGATTGTGATTATTTTGGTGGCTTGATTGTAAATTGGCAAAGATTAAAATGAAACGCATCCATTTTCCATCATCTTGCCACTTAATTTTTTTCACAGATCATGCAGCAGCCATTAAAGGTGCACACAGACTTTTTTTTTCCTATGTTGTGCTGGCCAATATTGCAGTTATCTTGGAAGAAATTGAAGAAATGTGTAGTTAGCATAATTGATTTTATCCTATGGACAAATAACATTCAGCTGGTCATGTGATCTCAACATGGTGGCCCCCATGAGGCGACCCCCTCCATGTACAATAAATCACCATTTACTGGGCTAATGATGCCAGTACTGTTATTTAAAAAATTATACACAAATATTAATTTAATCTAAAACTTAATGAGGGAAAATTGTTGAGTCTATACATTTTGCAGAAATGTATTACCGGATTTTTGTATATACACTGCTTATTTGTATCAATCTATAAGAGAGAAGCCTGTAAAAAAAAAAAAAAAAATTCAAAACACATTATAGACGTCTATAAATAGTCAAAGTGAAAAGGGACATGAACTTCCTTCGGTGTACGCCATAGACTGTATAAAAACAGGTGTACGCTAGAAAATCGTGGGAAGTCGGATATTCTGATCCCGGATACGCAGATGGTAGAATAAAAGACTTTCTGGGTCTTCCTAAAATAGCCTTTCTATTTTCGTCTCGTTAATAAAAAAAAAGACCCGCAAGCCATACTGCGAAGCTGCTGTGCGACATCCTAAAGTAATACATTTTAATACAAATTTTATATAATATTGAGAGCTTGGCGTAAATGATTTCAGTCACTCTAAAACTCGCTGAGTTGTAGCGAAAGAACAGATGGCAGTGGTTGTCTCGTGGTCTTTTATTTTGAAATGACTGCACTGCTGTACAGCTGAACGTGAGTCATTTCCTGTGGCTGTTGTCGTCGCTTATTGCTGCTGTCAGGACGGAAGAGTGGTTTCAGGTATGACTGTGTCCCTTCACTTTACCTTTACCTCTGTTATGACACTTTTCACTCTTTTTAGCCTAAGAGTATGTAAACATCACTATGTAGTCGATGATGAGTCTCAAATCAAGTATAAACCGCAATAGGGGACTCAAAGCTAACCTAGACAGCTAATTCTTGCCGGTTCATCACCCACATGGGCTGTTTGAAATGAATATAACTTGTAAATGGAATCTGAAAATGGTATTTTGTTTATGTAAAATAATTGGTAATTACCCAACAAGTGTAAGAAAGTCTTGTGTACTATAACCCTACTTAATCAGTTGGTTTATCTTTTGTTATTAAGTTATAGCTTAGGTTAGCTTAAGTGCTAGTTAAAGGTCCTAGTACAACCAGTACAGGTGATCAGAGTACTGTGATGGAAATAAATGAATATACTGGTACTAGAATACATTATATATATTTTTTGTCAGTTTTATTGATTTTAATGCTTTTTGTTATTTTCTGATATTTATTTTGTTATTTTATTTATATTTTTTAAATCAGCATTTCTTACATTTATTCCCCAAAGACTAACTACTAATCCACTCAAGGTTTTCTTGAGAGGACAAACCACCATCAACACTTCCAAAGTTTGATTTGGGATGTTTGTCTGCCCTCAGCAAACTTACCAAGGCCTCAGTGAGTAATGCTTTCACTGCTGTCAGTTAAGATAACATCACAGGGTTTGTTTCTGTGTGCAGGTGTCTGAACTGTAAACAGTTGTGGGAGATGGCTGCAAATGGAGCAGAATGTGAACAGCCACAGAAAAGACTAGGGCCTAAAGACAAGCAGAATGGCAGTTCTACAGGTTTGTTAAGCTGATTTAATCAATTAAACCAGGACCAGAGATAAACGGATATGCCCTAGTCACTAATAGATTGATCTATCTTCATTGATCTTTAAGGAATAATTTACCCGAAAATGAAAATTTGCTGAAAATGGTCTCACCCTCAGGCCATATGAGCTAAAGATTCGTTTTTTTTCATCAGAACAGATTTGGAGAAATTTAGCATTCCATCACTTGCTCACCAATGGATCCTCTGCATGTTGTGTTAAAAATATAATTGAATCATATTGTAAAAGCTTGTGGATTGTACCCACAGATTCATCTCTGAGAGAGAGAAAGCAGCAGGACAGGGAAGAGTGTCTTTCTTTAGTGCTGTGGAAGAGGCCTTTTACCACACTACAGTATTTCTTCATAGAAACCCTTATTACCCTGAAAGAATGGACGTGGAAGTAAGCGATCACATTTTTTATTGCACACATAATTCTAAGTGCCTTTTATTTATAGTTTATGGAAAGTTTAACCAAATTATTTGCACGTGTCCTTGTATGGTGAAATTACATTCCTATTGATGCCTGGTCGGGAAATGTCATGCCCTTACCATAGCCGCCTGCGAGCTTCAGTGTAAATACTGTTCAATATCAAATCAATTTGAGCGCGATTAAGATCTTTTTTATGCTCAAACAGCAACATTACAGACTTAACTAAAGTTGGAAAAGTGAAAAAGCTTAATAGGACCCCTTTAAAAAGTGAAAATGTCACCAAGTGATATATTTACAAGTATCATTCAGGGTCTTTCCTGAGGGAACTGAATGCATTTACACTACCGTTCAATATATATATATTATTATTATTTTTTTTAATTAATACTTTTATTTAGCAAGGATGGGTGCAGGCACAGCTATTGGAGAGCTGCCTCCTTACTTCATGGCACGGGCGGCACGGCTGTCTGGAGCAGATCCTGATGATGAAGATTATGAGGAATTTGAGGAGATGCTGGAGCAGGCACAGAGTGCACAGGTCTGCATCTCATCTCATTCTGGACCCACATGTCCAAACCTTCACCTTCATACAGACAGCAGCTCCTTTTGATCTTCATCAGGGGCTCCGGTAGATGTTCAAAGCTTAACTAACCATTTCCTTCCAGTGGTCATGCCGTTATGAAGCCGACAGTGATGCCCCCCCCATGAAGCAGCAGATACTGTATCCTGTTAGAGGGAGGTGTCCCAGTGTCTCATTCTCATGAGCCCTCACCATTGTGGTTCACTTATGCGGGTCACATGAATTCTTGGAAGGGCTCTCCCCTGACTTCCAGTAAACCCTTTGAGCAGAGGGTGACTCAGAGGCAGAGCTTTCCTTTAATCACGGCCTCTTGGTGTCTAAGTGGACCCCACATGGCCTGCGCCTTCACACAAAGCTTTTTAATTGGAGGGCTTTAATATGGTGCATTGCACCTCAGCGTTTACTGATTAATCAGCAAAATGTCACCCTTTTTTTTTTTTGCACAATTGTACACAAGTAAAAAACTTTTTTTTGCATAGTATTGACATTTTTCTTTGTAATTTTGCCTTATAATATTGAACTGTAACTGAAAGTTGACTTCAGAAATTGTTCTACTGAAACAATATACAATAAATACATTTTTTAATATAAACAATGAATGATTATAATACATTATAGTAATGATATTTATTTTTAATGTTTAAAATTGTTCCTAATTATTTCATATTTTTGATGTAGTTTTAGATTTTAAATAAACTATTAGTTCAAACAATATAAAGTCTGATTCATATAGCAGTATAAGAAGTCATGTAGATTGGTGAATCCTAAAATCAGTTATCCATTTTAAGCCCAACTATTTTATCAAGTTTTTTTTTAAACCTAAATTTTTTTTAAATTGTCCATTTTCTTACAGGATTTTGCAACAAGAGCCAAGCTTGCGGTGCAAAACATGGTGCAGAAAGTGGGATTTTTTGGAATTCTAGCTTGTGCCTCTGTAAGTAACATTCTTGAACATTTTTTCCTTTTTATCTCATATTTCCGATTATTTTCCTCACAATACTGAGATATTAACACAGAATTGTGGGATATAAATGTTGAATTGCAAAAAAATGCTCTTGAATTCTGAGAAGGAAAGTCTGAATTGTGAGATATAAACTTGCAGTTAACTTTTTCATGCGGAAACAAAAAACAAATGCAAAATGTAAACTCCAAAAAAAAAAAGTCAAAATTGCAAGATGTAAAAAAAAAAAAGTCATAAATCAGAAAAGTTGCAATATTTTTTTTATGTGTATATATTATACAATTAGCTTATAAATATTAAATCTTTCAAGAGCCATTAATGCAGTATGTCTCTTTATTTACTTACCTCTATCATTTTTTAATAAAATGCCTTTATTTTTGCTTATTTTTGTAATTACGCATTTCCCATTTAAGTGGTTTACAGTAGCTTATCCAGTGAATGTGTTTGTTGTGAATAAGCAGTTGATGTTCTGTGTTCGCTGGGTGTAATGTAAGAATAGTTGATAGTCATGTAATGGAAGAACAGTTCTGAGTTTCCCATGCATTTTCCAGTCTAGCATCTTTCAGTGCTTACCAATGCTTACAATGTTTCTCAGATCCCAAATCCCTTGTTTGACCTGGCTGGAATCACCTGCGGTCATTTCCTGATTCCATTTTGGACCTTCTTTGGAGCGACTCTCATTGGAAAGGCCATTATTAAGATGCACATTCAGGTACAAAAACAAATGCCTCTTACACATTTGTTCAGCACTTCCAAACAGAAGTGTTTTGTCTTAACTAATGATGATTCTCATAAATGTCAAAGTAATTTTTCAGTCGGCCAGTGCCATTAGATCATCAAAGACACACCTTTGCATGTACCTCCCCTGCGTTTTGAATGTTGACTCCGCAGATTCTAGACAGCGGTGCATCTGATGTCTTCAGATCTGCTTATTTCATCCAGATGATCAAATCATGAGCATGAGCGAGTCGGTGATCTCACCGGGTGTCACATGTCTCATCACGTCTCACTGTCTCCTAAAGACACTGTCTGCCCCCCACTAAACACAGCCGCTGCCTTGAGGAACATGCCGTTGATTCATTGTCTAACAATGTTTATCTGCTTTTTGCTTCTCTACAGAAACTGTTTGTTATCATAACATTCAGCAAGCACATAGTGGAGCAGATGGTCTCTCTGATCGGGTGAGTAATGACACCAGCGTGAGATGAATATGGACGCCCAGTGTAAACGATGGTAAACATTATAGCAAATAAACAAGGACTACATGAATCAAGAACACATGAAATTTATAGTAGTTGTGCACATTCTCAAGATGGATTTGTTCACTTTCGGCTTGAAGAGTGACAGTTCAAAATGCTTCTTGGACATATAAGAATAAATGTATTATTAATCATTTACTTTTGCACAGTGAATAAAACATTTGAGTGAAAAAATATGTGACCCTGGACCACAAAACCAGTCATAAGGGTCAATTTTTCGAAATTGAGATTTATACATCATCTGAAAGCTGAATAAATAAGCTTTCCATTGATGTATGGTTTGTTATGATAGGACAATATTTGGCCGAGATACAACTATTTGAAAATCTGGAATCTGAGGGTGCAAAAAAATCGCC